GCGCTTCGCACGGAGCGGGCCGCTGCGGAGAGAAGAGAGGGGGTGATGGGGAACGGACCCGAAGGAAAACAGCGTTTCCCTCCTGCCCCCCGCCCGGCGGCTTAACTGACAGTATTAATTAGGACCCTAGCTGCTGCATAATTGATGTAAGCCGATCAATACGCGAGCAGAGATGTGGGAGACGCAGCCCGCGAAGCCGCGGTCTGCCCAGACAGCGCTGTGCCGGGTCGGGGGTCGATGGCTTCGGTGCCCCTGTTCCCAGGGGAAGCTCTGAGCAGCGTTGGTGTCCCCGCTCGCTCGCTGCCTCGCGTTCAACGCCTTTGGGCAAGCGATTTGCGTTTGTGGCCGCTGTTTCCTCGCGGTGTGACCCTTCCCTTCCGGATCACGTCCCTGTCACTTGAGGACACAGCTAAGAGCATCCTTGCTGCCCAGGTGCTCTTGAGCAGCGGTTAGTGATGGTGCTTGGATGGGTTTCTGCTGCTTTGCCTGAGAGGGTGAATAGATAAGGGGCGTTGTGGTAGCTGATAACATTTGGACTCATAGTCGTTGCCTCCAGTTTAAGCCCTAGGCTGAGATGCTGAAGTTCAGGATCTAGTTGAATCGGGTCCCCTCTATTGTAATAAAAAAAAAAACAAACCAATGGGATGAAGCCGAACCACAGCACCCGCTGACCTTCTCTGTGCCCCAGCCCCGCTGTGGAGAGCTCTTCCGTGGGGTCTGTTGCAGAACAAGCGGATCTCTGTGGCTATCCCCTCCCGCGCCGCTCTATTACGACTGTCTTCCCTGGCGGGGGATGCGAATGCCCTGTTGCTTGAAATGCAGCCAGAAGAGATCCACTCACTTTGCAAAGCTGATGAGCTGCTATCGGAGAGCACCGACCTTCAGCAACCTTGGAGTGAATTGCAGTAAGTGCTGAGCGAGGAGGCAGCAAGCTGACTGCGTCTCGTTCTTGTGAGGGGTCGTCAGTCCTGTGTGGATGTAGCCTTTGCCACGCTGTGTTGTGAAGTGTGGCAGAAATAGGCAGGGTTAGGTCAAGTTAGACCAAGAGGTTTTACAGGCTGGGGGCAGACCTGCTGGAAAGTAGCTCTGTGGAGAAGGACCTGGGAGTCCTGGGGACAACAAGTTGACCATGAGCCATCGATGTGCCTTTGTGGCCAAGAAGGCCAATGGTATCCTGGCGTGCATTAGGAAGCGTGTTGCCAGCAGGTGGAGGGAGGTGATCCTGCCCCTCTGCTCGGCCCTAGTGGGGCCTCACCTGGAGTACTGTGTCCAGTTCTGGGCTCCCCAGTACAAGAGGGACATGGGACTACTGGACGGAGTCCGTTGAAGGGCTTCTAAGATGATGAGGGGACTGGAGCATCTCTCATATGAGCAAAGGCTGAGAGAGCTGGGACTGTTCAGCCTGGAGAAGACTGAGGGGGAGATCAGATGAATATGTGTAAGTATCTGAAGGAAGGATGTCAAGAGGATGGGGCCAGACTCTTCTCCGTGGTGCCCAGGGATAGGGCATGAGGAAAAACTTCTTGACTGTGAGCGTGACAGAGCACTGGAGCAGGTTGCCTAGAGAGATTGTGGAGTTTCCTTCCCTGGAGATATTCAGAAGCCGCCTGGACAGGATCCTGGGCAGCGTGCCCTAGGTGACCCCACTTGAGCGGGGGGTTGGACTAGATGATCTCCAGAGGTCCCTGCCAACCTCAACTGTTCCGAGATTCTGTAAAGTCTGTCAGGCCAGCTCTTTCCTCCCAGCTGTTGGACAACCTACATTTGATGTCCCCTCTCTTGTCCTGTCTGGTGTTTCTTACATGGAATCGGCTGGAAAGTTGCTTGGAGAGCTTGTCCGTGTGTTAAGCGGTTATGAAAGAGTAACTTGTATCGAATTGTCTCGCTCTCGCAGCATCTCTGACATCTTTCTAGGCGTGCAGGTTTCTGATGCAATTTCACTTATCTCTGCTAACTGAACTGACATACTATTCTGGGATAAGCGTCAGCATAAACAAATGGTGGAGATGCAGGCCACGATCCAGAGCTTTCTGCAGATCTCTCCATTCTGCAGCCCTTTCATGCATGGTAAGATCTTTGTGGCTTTTCTCTCTGCTTTAGACAAAAAAGGCCAAAAGACCATTTTGACCCACTCCTTGATGTCTGTGCCAGAGCGTGACATGGGTGGCTCAGTTCGCTGAATCTGTTTATCGATTTTGTGCTGTGGGTGATCTCTTGCAGGAAGCCGTAGTTTCCTTTCTAAACGTAAATCTGCTTATTGAATGCCTGTGACGCAGTGCTTTAAGGGAAACACCTGACTGGTTTGGGTGTCTTTTTGGTCTCCTCTGCCGTGTAGGCTTTCCCTCCCTGGCACTGCAGTCATAGTAATTCCTCCACTTTGTGGAGAGCTGATTCGACATCACATGAGAAGCAACAGTCCCACTGCTACTTTCTCTTCCTGTGCTAAAATCCTGAGGGAGTCATTTGCCACGTAGGAGGAATTTTCCAGGTTATTTTTTGTTTTAAATGTTTGCCTCCCTTTTGCCGGATGGCGTCTGCTTGTAGGACGCCTGTGATACTACATATCAGCTGGTTGAGGAGAGGGGCTGTTGGCAGGCAAGCAAGAGATTTTGGTCAATGCTAAATCAATTTGGGAACAGGGTTAACAGCAAAGGCTGTAGGAGCCCTGGTGTAGCTTTCCAGTGTGACGCTAGTGAGTCACCGCTCTCCCGTCTGCTGAATCACAGAACGGCTGAGGTTGGAAGGGACCTCTGGAGATCATCCAGTCCAAAGCCTGAGTAGTGTTGAGCTGCCCTGTTGAAACATGGACAGACATGGGCTTGTTAATAACTGTCCCCACCACAGCGGGACAGTTGGGCTTGGGCCTCGACAAGGGGCCTGCCAAAAGTTAGCAGAGCAGAGAGCTTGTTGTGACACCAGAGTTGTTTCCAAGAAGCAGGTAGAGCTGTGCAAAGTCTCTGCTGGCTAACCAATGCCCACTGGGCAAGATCTTGACTGTAGTAAGAGGTCTAGTCACAATGTGCCGGAGGTCTCCCTGTCCCCCTGGAAAGCGGGGGATGGCTGGAAGTGAGTGAGAGGCTATGGAAGGAGGAGGCAGCCTTTCTGTCTGGAGAAATGGGCCCTTGGCCTTCCTTTCTGCTTCCCCACTGGAAGAGGAGCAGGGAGGACCAACCGTCTTCTCCTCTGGGTGGAAGGGGGTCTCTGGGGCCTGTCCCTCAGGTTCTGCAGAAGGCGTGTGTGGTGGTGGGCTTCCTCCCGCTGCCCTGAGCGCGGCCAGGTTTGGGGCAGGGGTGGGAGCTGCGTTTCCTTGCCCCGCGGTCCAGGCTGCCTTTTCTCCCCTTGCCCTGCTGGGTGCTTTTCCATGGGCTTTTCCCAGTGACCGTTTGCTTTGTGGGGTGGCAGCGACTGCTTGGCTTGTTTATTGCATGCCCAACGCTACAGCGTTGGGGCCGCGAGCTGTGACCGTGGGTGCTGCTGGCCACGTGGCACCCAATGAATAGGTTGGGCTTCGTTAGCGAGCCTTGTCCAAAGTGAATTTTCAGCAGTGGCTCAGGAGAAATTTGCTATCAGCTGACAGTTTGAAGGGGAGGGACCTATCTGAGTGGTTTGGAAGCTCGAGTGACCTCCTTTTCCTTTTCCTTTTGCAGGCAGCCACAAGAGGCGGGGGTGCTGTCAGGCATAGGGATCTGCCCTTTTAACCTGCCTTATTGCTCCCGGAGGAGCAAGAACCATCACGTTTCTGCATTTGTCAGCTTTTGGGGAAGAGAAGATGCCTAACAGGGCGGGGAAGGGAAGGCAATAGTGATGCTTGTTCAGGACGTGTGGGAACTTGGGGATAAGTAGGTGAAAGCTTGAGGCGTTTGTCAGGGCTGAACGGTAAGTCAGCTTTTAACCTGGAGGCAAGAGACTAATTTTTTTAGGTATCAGTGGCAGCTTACCCAAAGATGCTGGCGAGAAAACTGGGCAGCCGAGGGTGGCTATCGGGCAGGGTGGAGAAATGTGATGAAGCTGTTTATCAAGGGTTGATTATGGGTTCGTTATGGCTGGAAATTTGCTTTTTAACTGCAACTGGGAGGATTTGCCAGATGGTGTTTTACCGCCCGTTATTCTGCCCTGAACTGTGTTAATGGCGACGGTGCTCTCTCCCCTGGTTTGAATCCAGGATTAGCCACGGTGTCTTAGTAAAGAGATCCTGATTGTGTAGACTGGAGGCAAAGTTTTGACGTTGGTGGGAAATTATCCGCTCGCTTTGGATGAGGTTTTCAGTTCCTTCTAGGCGTTCTTTCCAATCTCTGAGTGGAACAAAAATAGGTTCTTAGAAGAGATATTTTTGATCTAGAAAGTAAAGAAATCTGTATTTTTCTAAGGGGAACTGCTAATGCATGGGTTTCTTCAATCAAAAAAAAAAAAAAAGAGGTTGGTGACTGTTCTTCCACAAAGAGTTTTACTGGAGTTGTAGGAGTTAGTTCTGGGGGAGGGACAGGTTGTGGCAGAAAGTGAGGATGGAGGAACGCAGGAAGAACCTTTGCTGTGGCCACGTGCAGTGCCTTGGTCGTTCCTATCCGGTGGCTGACCCTCTCCTGAAAAAGAGAATAAAGAAGAGAATATAGTGAGGGGAAAAAGGAGAAAAGATATTGCGAAATTACACAACAGACAGGGAGCTTGGGGGATATCTCCCATCCTGTTAGTGACTGCTTTGTTTTCCCAACGCACTGAGCTCGTGGTCGGCTCGGAGAGTTCAGCCTTCCTTGGCCATCCGCTGCCATCCTGCCCAAGGAAGAAAAGGCTCTGGTATGGGACCTCTCTGCAGCTCTGCTCCCCTTGCTGGCAGTCCTGCAAACGAGGCCAAGAAAGCCCACTTTGGGCAGGATGGGTCATGCCCACGCACACCTATGGCTGGGCTTGTCCCTGCACTGGGTGGCAGGAGTGCATTAGAGGGCACATCAGCTGTCGAGCTGACTAGAGACAGGTTTGTCTTTAAATCTAAACAGACCCCAAAATAACACGCCTGGCTAGCTTTTGACTTTGGCTGCTGCCATGGGGAGAGGGGTCTTCTGGGGATGCCACCTGGCGCTAGCCCCAGCGCGTATTTCGGTTTGCCTGCCCCGAACTGGCTGCATCGCTCACGGGACGTTTCTGGGGTAAGAGGGGGTCTGCTCATAGTGCAAAGGTCGCCTTCAAAAGCAGCAGGCTTTCTGGCTCTTAAAATAGAAGAAAGCTCCGAGACCTTGTCCTGCAGAGCGTTTGAAGAGTGGCTCCTCTGTGAGCTGCCGCGAAAGCGCTGCTTGCTATCCTGCTGGCTGGCAGCGTGGACAGGGAAGTGACGGGGTTAGGGAGAGACTGTTGCTGTGACCGCATGGGGCAGGCGTTGCCAAATGGCTGAAGCGATGAGGAACTCTCCCCTCTGGCTGCTCACATGGCTCCTCTCTCCTTCCGCTGCGCTGGGAGGCAGGGCTGGGCGCTGAACGTGCGTGGCTGCCCCAATTCAGTGGCAGCTTCAAGGCTGCAGATGCAGGAGGTAACTCGCTAACCTGTGGTTTACAGGCAGGTCCCTCACGTTGTGGCTTCAGCGTACAAAGAGGAGGGTTGGCCAGTCCTTACTGGCAGGGTCCTTGGCACGAGCGTAGTGCCAGTTTGGGTTGGAAAGGAAAACGATTGGGGCGATGGGTTCAGCTAGGTGGTTCCTGTTCTTTTGTACAGTCAGCTTTGACATTATGTTGTTCTTTCCCAGCACCAAAAACTGGATCTGAGCTTAGACCTTGCAGCGGAGGTTCATGCCTGAGGAGTGCATAGGAGCTGTAGGTCCGCTCCAAGGGTGGCAGCAGATCCGTGCACAGGGAGGAGTCGTGAAGGGCAGAGTAAAGGTGGTCTCCACTGAGGTATGATCAGTGCAACTGGCCCGGTT